TACTATATTGGGGGACCCCAAAAAGGAACCCTAATTTAGAGAACTACCCACCTGGAGATTTGCCAACGGAGCCTGCATTGGGCCTGCTAAGCCCCCAGAGCCCTACAGCCCGCTAATCGAGAAACCCTCAATCCCCCTAAACCATACACTTACATCCCTAAGCCCTAACCCGAAATCCCAAATTCCTAAATCCCTAATTAATCCTCGAACCCCAAAACCCTTAAACACTTAACTCCTGAATCCCTCAATCCGTAAATCCCTGAATCCTTGAACCCTAACCTCCACCCTAAACCCGAAACCCTAAATCAGTAAATCCCTAAATCAAAAAAAAGCTTGCGGCTCCCGGGGTGTCCAGAAGGTCTTTTCGGGCATGCGGGGGATTGGGGGGGGATTAAAGGATTTAAGGTTTGGGGCTTAGGGAGTTGAGGGTTTTTTGAGTTTAGGGTTTTTAAGGTTTCGGGGAGGTAGGATTTTAGGGTTTAGGGTTTAGGGTTTAGGGATTTAGGCCCTACGAGTAGGGCGGTTTATGGCTTCAAAGTATTGAAGCTTGATCCCCTCGGGGTGTTGGGGGGCACCTGGGGCGCTGCCGTGCGCAATTGCAGGCTGACCAACTTGCCGATGTAGCTATCTTCGCCTGCTTTGGTTCTCGGTTTTGGGGCCTACAAATTTCAGGGATTGCCGCTGAAAGTCCAAGAACCAGTATTTAGGTCTAAATCCTAACCCGCAGCCCCTGAACCCTAGATCCCAAACCCTGAAACGCCTGAACAACCCAAAATCCCCGAACCCGGAAACCCGATGCTCTAAACTTCAATTTCCGAATCCGGGGGGCCCTCCAGCGCTGAGCCCGTAAACCCTCAATGCTACCAGGTTTCAGGCCCCGGCCCCAAGGCTTCAGGTTGTTGCCTGATACTTACCCTGACTTAGATTTAGCACAACCCAACCCTAACTCGCAAACCCGGCCCTAAACCCTGAACCCTGAACCCTGAATGCTAAACCCTGAACCCTGAACCCTGAACCCTAAGCCTAAAGCGTACCAAATCCTCTGTGTGCGAAACCGCTTCTTCGACTCGAGTGCTCCAGACCCCGATCTCCAACACCCAACCACGATCTAGGGTTTAGGGTTTTGAGGGTTTTTGAGGTGTACGATTCCCAACCCCAAACTCCAAAACCCCAAGCCCCAAACCCTAAACCCTAAACCTGAAGCCTTGTTTAGAACTTCAGCCTTAAACCCCTGAGGCCCTGCCCTGAAGCTCCTTCAACCCCAGATCCTCAAACGCTGAAGCTCTGAAGACCTAGTTTAGAGTTTAGGGTTTAGGGTTGAGGGTTTAGGGTTGAGGGTTTAGGGTTTAGAGTTGAGGGTTTAGGGTTTAGGGTTGAGGGCTTCGGGTTGAGGCTTTGGGTTTTTAGAGTTGAGGATTTAGGGTTTAGGGTTGAGGGTTGGGGTTTAGTGGCTCCAATCCCCAAACACCCTCAAACTTTGAGGCCCTAAAGCCCCCCCCCGAACCTCTATCCCATATCCTAGAGCCCTTAGAAAGCCCCGTAGCAACACTGAAAATGCATACAACACCCTCAACACCACATAAAGCCCAAAGGCTGTTGCCTGCGGTTCTCAGATTCCCGGCTTCCCACTCACTGGCGATGTGGCGTGGGAAGACCATCCCGGTCGGATTTAGCTGCCTCTGTTCAACTAGCGGCTGTTCGGGATCAGGGTCCAGGGTTAAAGGATTCTATAATACAAGATGATAAAGTGCAACCTAATCTAACTTGACATAATCTAGCAGGAAACAAGACGGTATGGCATCATATAGTACAATATAATCTAACCACGCTGGTGTCGTGGAGTTTAGGATTTCGGGTGGGGGAGTTTCGGCTCTCGTGGTTCAGGGTTCAAGGCTTCAGGGCTTAGAGCCGGGCAGAGAGCACAGGTGGTCAAAGGCTGGCGGGTTTAGGGTTAGGGCTTGGTTCGCGGGGGCTGCGTACATGTGTACAGTGTACACTATGCGGTCAAAGTTTGTTTGCTTTGAATACCATGACTTTGGCAGAAAGTGACTCTCAACGCGACTTCGTGTGCACACGAAACGCGCAGCCAAACCCTAAAACTCGAAGCCAAACCCTAAACCTCACCGGCTTGAGGGAGGAGATGTTTGTGATACTGGCGTTATTAACACTCAAGTAGTACATCCTCTTAATCCCTGTTGCTTTCAACTGGCGACCACATCGGAGGAGCGGCTCCAACACTCGGAGTCCTGTATTCGTCCTATTAAGCCCTAAACCCTAAACCCTACGGGTTTAGGGTTTAGGGGTTCAGGGGTTTAGGGGTTTAGTGTTTAGGGGTTTAGGGTTTAGGGTTTAGGGCTAAGTCTTGTATTCGTCCTCATAGTACAAGAAGCAAAGTTCCTTCTAAGCCCTGAAGCCGCATCAGAACAGCAAAGGCAGGTAGGCTCAATGGAAATAGCAGGTTACAGTTACAGCAAGCGCAGGGCTACTATGGAGTTTAGGGTTCTATCAGTACTTCAGAACACATGATCGCAGGCTTGGGGTGCATTTGCGAGGGGCTGTCTCGGAAACAGCAGAGTACTTATGTTGATGAACTCCTTGGACTAACTGCACCGCAACATGTCTCACAGTTGAAAGTGCTGAAGGTGATGCAGGGCTTGGTCTCTCAAAAGATCGACTGGAAACTCGGCTCAAGCTCCCATAGGCCCTGAACCCCAAGCCCGAAATCCTAAACCCTGAAACCTGAACCCTAAACCCTAAACCCTAACCATAAGCTCTCACAAAATGTTAGAGAGAAGGCCGAGTTGCATGTGTGTGGCATCGGGTTCCCACCAATAGAAAAGGGTCTTGTACGCAGCCACCTGGTGACATGCACCCCCGTGGTGGCAAGCCCCCAGGCGGCTTACATCGCGATTTTGGTTTTGCTTTGCATGGACAGATCGATCTATAGATAGATAGATAGATAGATAGATAGATAGGTAGGTAGACAGACAGTTAGATAGACAGACAGCTAGATAGATATGCAACTAAACATATAGATTTTGATGATATTGCTAGCTAGACAACTACAAGTAGCAATATGTTGAAACAGTGTCACTGCGCGAACCTGTCTGTAACATGATTGTTGTCTCCGATTCTGCCGTCCCAAGCAGCACTAGCATGCTGGGGGGGGGGGGCGTCGAAGGCCACTTCAAATCCGGTTTGTGCGTTCGCGGTATGTACTTTCAGGCGCCAGCACCTGATGCACGTAGAGGTCCCAGGTTGCGGCGATGCCGATCGCGGCGGGGAATCCGTAAGCGGTGGCCCACTGCATCTGAGCATCGATAATCCAACCATTGCCTGGGCTCGGGCCGAGTGTTGTACAACCTTCACAAGGTTTAGGGTTTAGGGTTTAGGGGTTTAAGGACACGAACAAAAATCTCTGGATGGGCTCGGAGCACCTGCCGCAATGATGGGAATGCAGCCGGATGGGTCGTGGCGACAGGCAGGCGAAAGCCAAAAATAACCATCTGGGCAATAAGCCACATAGCCCTCGGGCGTCAGTGTGACCCCGGCCTCATCCCCAGTGTACTGCACATAGAGATCCATCCGCACTGTATTCACAAACTCGTTCCCCGGGGTGTCACATGGAAAAAACTCCGACTGTGGGATATCTGTAAAAGAGTCGAAATACTTCTTGGGATCATGGTGGCTCGTGTTGTAGCTCCTGGAAATCTTTCGCGAATGAGCGCAGGGATGCAGGTTCAGTGATTTTTAACCCCAAAGATTGAATCCTACACCCTGTTAAAAGCTCCGCCCTCAACCATGAACCCTACAAACTCAACCTTGCACCCCAAGGCCCAAGCCCAAAGACCCCCAAAACTCAACCTTGGACAGAACTTTAGGGCTGAGAGTTTAGGGTTGAAACCGTTCGAGGCTTTCAGCTTGAACTTGAATCCGCCGGTCCTGTAAAACTCTAGGGCTAGCCCGACGTCGTGGTAAGCCTCGTCTCTGACGTAGGCCTTCACGAAGAGGTTGTGGTTCCCGAAGTAGCCCATGGTACCCATGTCCTGAAATTGAGGGTTACGGGTCCCACCCTCGGGATATTGCATGATGTCTCGTGGCCCCGAGCGTTAGAAGCTATGGGCGTAGAGTTGGTACTAACAGCTTGGGGACGTCAAAACACCGGCGTTAAGGACCGTGAATTGCTGCATCCCCTAAACAAGGTACTCCAAATTTCCAGAAACCCCCCACCCTTCAACAAAAACGACCCTGACGAATCCTTCCAAAACCCTTATACATAGTTGGTGCGTCGGAATTCTGGCCCATGTTTTCGATGTAAAAACAATCGTTTTTAAGCATGTTTAAGGTAGTAACAGGTAGTATCGCCATTGTAAGTAAACACGGGTCTTGTGTGGGGCGACAGGTTCTCCACAAAAGGTCCAGATGCTGCTGCATGTACACAGATGGATGGTCGACCAGATACATCGATTCCTCTGATCTTTTGCAAAACCAGGAGTTCCATCATGTACTAATGAAATAGCCCCGTCTAGTGCTGTTTCTGGTGCCTAAGCTGTTTCAATAAAATGGTGGGCGATAGACCCAGTCATGCGGAAGAGTTAGAGTTTAGGGTTTCGGGGGTCAAATCCTCCTGTCAACATATTCGGGATTGCCGCCCACCACATCATTTTCGGATCAAGGTCTATGAATAGTCATTGTTTCCAAAGTTTCGGACTTCGCATTACACAGTATCATCCGTCTGATCTTTTCATGTTTGTAAATTGCGGCAAACTATTCCTTGTTAGCTGGCAGCCAATCACTCGTTCTACAGTTGACAGTGTTGGCCACCCACGATGTTCTTGTTAGGTTTCGGATGCTGGGGTTTCCACCCATCATTTCGTTTTGAAGTGCAAGTGCTTACGACCTAGTTCAAGCTCCCACAAGCTACTGCCAAGACTCGGATATGCCACTCACCATCCCTCATCAGCATTTGGGATGCTTGCGAGCTTTGGTAATCTTCGAATCTAGAGGTTGAAACTACCCATCATCTTGTTTGAGGTTGCGGGGTTTGCACTCAACCTGCCCATTTGTGGGTTGTAGGAAAGTATTCGCACTTTTCGAAGGTTTGGTGCTTGGGGCATCATCAGCTCCGTCACATATTTTGAATATGGGATCCATGATCACGGTTTGAGCTTCTTGCAAGCAAGGTGTGTGTTTACCAGTTTGTAGATTCTTGTTTTGCAAACCATTCTTCTGGCAGTGAGGCTTGGGGGCTGGCCGCCCATCACATTTATTGTATTTCTCGTAGGCCTGGCTCTATGAATTATTTTTGTCTTTACATTTCTTACCTCCCATTGTGTTTGGCTACCTAACGTAGGCATTTAATCTGCCACACATCACTTGCTAGCTGGCACTGAGTCAGCTCGTTCAGGGCTTAGAGCGTCTCCCACCCACCACGTTCTTATCAGACTTCGGCTTGCCACCCGTTATCTCCTTCATGAAGTTGAAAGGCTTGTGACCTATATACAGGGCTTACAGGGTTTGTCATCCACTAGCTGTTAAGTTTTTGGGCACCAGGTATGCCATTCATCCTTTCTCATCAAAAGTTGAGACGCTTTGGACTCGGTTGACCATCTTGAGGTCTTAGGATTGAAATCCATCGTCATCTCTAGGGTTTAGGGCGTGGCACCCGACCTGCCCAATTTGGGGCTGTCGGTGCCCCATCACATACATTGTTTGATTGGCTCGGTGTTGGGGGGCTTGTCATCTCCATCAAATGCTTCATTGGCTGATGGATGGGCGTGGACGACGTACTGGGCATTGCAACCAAGCATGTAGGGCTGCTGGCTGGCTGCAAGGTCGCTTGTGGGGGCCAGCAGTGAGGTAACCGCAGAGCATTGCAGCCAGCAGCTCTATTCAGAAGATGCGTCATTGGGCACCAACAAAATTGCGGCGTTCGGTAGCCTGCAAGGAGGTACTGAGAAAACAGCTGCAGGTCCAAGGCAAGCCTCTCACAGCAACTGAAACAACAGAGGCTGGATGCTTAAATCGGAGACAGTTCCAGAAGATGCCGGACCTGTGTCACAGTTCATGTTATGTTGCGGGCTAGGGATTGCTTGCACATGCATGTGCAACACCCATGTCCTGTCTACCATCGAAGTACCAAGCCAGTGACAATATCTCAGATCCTGTTCGCCAGCCACTGCTACATGTGCCAATTTAAGATTGGGCCTCCGGCGCCTGTCGCCGCCAAAAAAAGCCTACGAATGCAGCTGTCAAATGCGGCCAGGTGAGCCCACCCGCTGGAGTCAAAAAAGGGCCGCAGCGGAGAGTTTGCCGGCTCTGGGTTTCTCCATGAAAGCGTGTTATGGCGCACCTTTCAAAACGAGCCCGCCAGAGCCAAAAAAGGAGGCAGGCGGCATGCCCCAAATTGCCTCCCTAGCAAGGGGATTAGCTGCCAAAACCGGACCCCAATCCGGCCACTTCAGGGGGGGCCCCACCCCAGACCCCCTAAGCCTTCTGGCAGAACAAGTTCTGAGTATTGAAACGAAAGATTCTCTGGGGAGAGCTTTCGTGACAAATTTATCCCTCATAATATGTGAGGGATGCCACCCATCATTTCCTCCACGGCTCGGGTCATAGTTCCTTAACGACTGGTCATTCACTACCATTTCGTGCGAAATGTCGAACTGTTTTGCCCCTTGCCCATGTAGGTGTTGCAGACTCCGGTTACTCTTTGAAATAATCCGAAAACGAATGTATTGTTTGAAAAGCAAAAGCCGCACAAGAGATGACATGGCTGTCAAGAACTGTATGAGCAGGTTGCACTGTATCTATGTATTCTGTGCATATACTTTCTGATACATGTATGTGTGTGTATGTATGTATATACATATATATATATATCATCCAATCTTTATTCAGTAGGATATATGACAAAGAGATATATCAGCATTCGCAAAATGTTCGAAAACGCAGGCCTCTTTTTCAAGGCGTTCTGTATACATACATACCTGTGTATTAAACCTCAAAAACAAATTGTCACATGCCTCATTTAACCTCCCTAAGCCCTAAACCCTAAACCCGAAGCCCGAAGGGCCCCTTTTAAGGGACCCAAGTCCTCCGGGCAAATTGCGGGGTGCGCATCTCGAAAAGCTGGATAGAGAGTGATGACTTCGCTAAGCCAGCTCTCTACTGCCACATGCCTGGAGAGAGGAGGGTTTGGGGCTTAGGGTTGTAGGATTTAGGGTTTTAGCGTTTAGGGCCTTATGCTTTGGGGTTTAGGGTTTTATGGTTGAGGGTTTAGGTCCGGTACAACTGTTTTTTCTTGAACTTGGTACACTTCTCGCATGTTTGCACAAGAGTCATGCTAATCTTCTCTGTATCGTTCCAATAAGGGGTTGTAGGGCTTTGGGTGTTAGGCAGAACTCCCCAAAAGGAATTGGGGCTGTGGACCCCATGCAAGAGAAAGTGCTCTTCCTTTTCGTCCAATAGGGCCCAAACCCTTTCCTGCCGATTTAAGCCCCTGCATCATGGGAGAAAAGTCGGGCTTGACAGGGTTTCTGAATAACTCTAGCGGCATCTCTTTGCCCTGCTAGGTTTCCTTGCCACCTAGCCTGTATCAACCTCATGCGCTCGAACAGACAGATCCGGCTCCGTCGATGTTTGCATAAGAAGCTCTCTAGATTAGGGTCCCCTTCAATGTGGGTCCTTCTTGCAAGTGTGACGCGCTTTGGTGACCGAGGGACCCTAACTCAGAGAACCCCCTCATATGGGTTCCCAAAAATATGGGACCCGAATATAGTACTCTAAATTGTAGGCTCCTTATTACAAGGACCCAAAATAAGGTATCTTAGTTTTCTGAAAGTCCCATAGACCGACTCATATAGCCAGTCAAGCCACTTCCGCTCCACGGTTGACGTGCAGTCGAAATCCTGGGATGCGGAATCGATGTCTCCGGCTTCGCAAAAGGACCGACATGTTCAAAACCGGGAAAGGCAAACCTTCCTTGGCCAGCATCCTATTAGGAGAACTAACGGTTAACCTTTGGGGCTATGTTTGGATTTGATAATACTCCAAAACAAGGTAACCTATCCTACTAAGTCGAGCTTTGGGTTCAGGATTCAGGGTCTCTGTGCTTCAATTGCATGGCTTGGTGTCTGGCGAGCCGCAACCTCAAGCCTCAAACCCACAACCCTAAGCCCGAAACTCCAAACCTCAAACCCACAGCCCCAAACCCCAAAACCCCAAAAGCCCCAAACCCCAAACCCCAAA